TTTTAAATATATCTTTGTTGATTTCAGAGAGAGGAAAGGAGAGGGAGAGACAGAGACAGAAACATCAATGGTGAGAGAGTCACTGATCAAGCCCACAACCGGAAATGTGCCCTGACCAGAAATCAAACCCCGATCGCCTGGATGCTAGGTGGATGCTCAACTGTTGAGCCACGCCCTGCCGGGCTCCCTCCTCCTTCTTTAAATTGAGGTAGGAGTCGAATGACGTAGAATGAACCATTTTTAAGTGCACAGCTCGGTGGTACTTAGTACATTCATACTATTGTGCAACCATCACCTCTATCTAATCCTAAAATGTTTTCATCACCCCAAAAGAACACCCCGTCCCCATGAGCAGTCACTCCCCATTCCCCCATACCTTCAGCTCCTGGCAACCACTAATTTACTTTCTATCTTTGTAGATTTGCCTGTTCTGGATATTTCGTAGCAATGGAATCATACAACACGTGGCCTTCTTTGTCTGGCTTCTTTCACTCAGCATGTTTTCAAGGTTCGTCCACATTGTGACATGTTAGTGCTTTATTTCTTCTGCTGAGTGACATTCCATTGTAAGAATATATCACAATTTGTTTATTCATTCATCTGTTGATGGACATCTCAGGTGTTTCCGCCTTTTGCCTATTGGGACATGTGCTGCTATGAACCTGGGTGGACATGTATTTGTTTGAGTCCCTGTTTTCAATTCTTTCAGGTTCACATCCTTCTTCCTTATGGCTTTTTCTGTGATCACTTCCTAGATAAACTGCTTGCACTCAAATCCTTGATCTAGGGTCAGCTCCTGATGGAACCAACCAAAACAAGGTGGGTGGGTAATAATAACACAGTGCCCAGGTATGGTGCCCTTCCTACATGCTGTGCACCACACTCAGGGTTGTGCATGCCTTGTCTCATGGAATCCTAAATCAGTCCTTGGAGGGAAGTCCTATTATTATCTCCATTTTCCAAACAACTCAAGGTCAGTTTCCCAGCTCAGGGAGACAGGAGCTGGCAGAGGCCCCCAGAGACCCCACCAGAGATCAACCTCAATCACCCTCACATTGAGAACCCATGGATCTCAGACAATGCCAAGGAGATTCCTTAAAATGGTGGGTCCTATCCTCACCTCTTCTTTCCACCCAGTCCTACTAGACAAGGGTTCCCTCTATGCTCCTACCTCCTTGAGCAACACAATATGAAGAAACTCTGAACTCCAAGTCCTCACCTGAGCCTCAATCCCCATCCACCCCCTCCTGGGGATCAGACTCACAGGCTTTTCCACCTGTTGACGTCCAGCCATATCAATCATGCAGAAGACATGAAGTTTCTATTGGTCAGTGCATCCTGGGAAAAGATCTGGGTAGACCATCACCAAATTTGGAGAGGTCCACCGGGATGGTCTGACTTAAAATAAAGATGACATGACCACTCATTAGGATGGCTACTATCAAAAAAAGAAAATAGCAAATGTTGGCAAGGATGCAGAGAAGTCAAAATGTGTGTACATTGCTGGTGGGTGTGTAAAATGGTACAGCCATGTTGTGGAAAATAGTATGGAAGTTCCTCAAAAGAAATTAAACAGAATTACCATATGTTCCAGCAATCCCACTTCTGGATAGACCTCCAAAGGGAGTACAAGTAGGGACTCAGATATTTGTACATTCATGTCCATAGCAGTGTTATTCGTAATGGCCAAAAGGTGGAAGCAACCCAAGTGTCCATGGATCAATGACGGATAAACAAAATGGGGAATATCCATACAGTGGAAAATTATTCAGCCTTGTAAAGGAAATTATGACACATGCTACAACATGAATGAACCTCAAAGACACTGTATTAAATGAAATAAGCCAGTCACACAAAAACATTCTGTGTGATCCCACTTACATGAGGTCCCGAGAGTAGTCACATTCCTAGAGACAGAAAGTAGGAGGGTGGGTGCCAGGGGTTGGGGGAGAAAGGATAGGAAATTAGTGTTTAATGGGGACAGAGTTTCAGTCTGGGAAAATGAAAAGGTTCTGGAGATGGCTGGTGATGATGGTTGCACAATATGAATGTACTTAATGGCACTGAACTGTACCCTTAAAGTGGTTAAGATAGTAGATATGTGTGTTTTACCACAATTTAAAATCTTTTTTAAAATACAGGCTGCCTGGTATAGGTGATCTGTCCCCTAAAAAGCCCAAGTAAGGGTAGGTGTGGAGTGTAGGCAACCTCCCAAAATGAAGTATAGAGAGCTCTAAGTCACAAGTCCTAGGCAGATGCTCTGAATTGTGGACGCTGACAGGCAATTGGACTGTCTCTTGTGAGGGCAGCTCCAGGTGACACGCTGGATGGGAAGTAGCTGTGGGTATTTATTTCTTTACCAATTTAATGGTGGGTAATGATTCTCCCCAGTGATGCCGGGAAGCCAGCTAGTGATTCCTACTAAGAATTGTGACCTTCCTCTAAATGCTTCCACATGCCACACCCTTCACCAAGTGCTCTAGGTGCCTTTCTCCAGCATTCAGTTGGCAAATAATTTTTGAGCCCCTGCTATGTGTGTGACTCTGTTCTGGGCACTGAGGATATAATGATGAGCAGGACATGGCCCTGGTAGTCAGGGAAGGTGACCACCAATAGGATGATATCTCTGAAAGCTACGTATCATGAAGGATGTCAAGTGGGGGTTGGGAGTGGCTGAATATTGCTCCCCACAAAGACATGGCATCCTAATCCTTGGAACCTGGGAATTGACCTTAAATGGAAAAGTCTTTGCAGATGGGATTAAGGACCTTGAGATGGAGAGATTATCCTGGAACATCCATGTAGGGCCTAACTGGAATCACACATGTCCCTTGAAGAGAGAGGCAGGGGGAGATTTGATACACAGAGGAGGAGAAGGCCATGTGAAGACAGAAGCAGAAATCAAAGTGATGTGGCCACAGGCCAAGGGACAGCTGGGGCCACCAGAAGCTGGAGGGGGCAGGAAGGACCCTGCCCTAAAGCCTTCAGAGGGAATGCAGCCCTGACTCCTCCACTGACTGGCTGTGTGCCCTGGGCTTCAGTTTCCCCATCTGAAACTGGCTGTAAAAGATGATCTCCAGGTCCCCCCCAGTGTGACCTTTCCTGCATGTGGCCAGGATGAGTAACCATCTTGGCAGACCCAAGACCCTTTGGGGAAAGTCAATATATTCAGCCAACAGGGAACCAGATGGATCACCTCTAACCCCTGGGCAGCCTAGCTGCAGTCTGGATCCCATCTCTGCCACCCCAGTCACTTTTCTGAAGGTCTACCACTCCCAGCTATGATGCCCTCCATGGCTCCTTACTACCCTCAGCCTGGCATCCAAAACCCTCAGGAGCTGATCCCTTCCCATCCTCCACACCAGCCACAAGGATCCCCTTTCTCAGTCTGTTTTAGACCCTTCTTCATTCAATTTGTTAATGTTGGGGTTTCTTAGAGCTTGACCCTGTGTCATCTCCTCCTCTCACTCTGTGTATACATTCTGGTGGGGATCTCACCCCCTGCCACGGTTTCTGTGATCTCATCTCTGAGGCACCTCCCATGTCTTTGTGTCTAGCTCTGAGTACCCCCCTGACAGGTTCAGCCACCTCCTGGGTACTCCCCAGAGGCATCCCAAGACTCTCAGATTCGCCTCACCTCCCTCTTCCTCCCCACATGCAACCTGTTGTCTGCCCTAAACATCTTTCACATCTGTTCATTTCTCTTCGCGCTCATCATCCCAGCCCGTGTCAGGCCGCCAGTGCTAGATGCTCCCACTGGCCTTCTCAGTTCTATCCTGCCCCCCCCCCCC